ACATAATGGCTCATCCGATTTAAATGATTTTAGTGTCAAATGAAAGAAGATAAAAAAAAACATGACATTAGGAAGCCGTTTTTCGATTCTCAATTTTGCTTTTTTGCAACATCCGGTTGAATTTTTTCAAAGTTTGAAGGGTCATATCTCAATGATCTGGAACTTTGATGACCTTGACCTTCATAAGGTCAAAGGTCATTGACCTTAGCTATCAGTTAATACTTTGACATTTGACCTCCGACATGTACTTCTGATTTTATAGCTGTCCGAAAACAGCCAAATTCGCAACTTTGGACTGCTGTAGCACGTGACCTAATTAACCTAGAGGGTTAATTTTTTCGGATTCTTAATGTGCTTTTCATGCTCTTTCAAGTGATATATAACAATCGTTTTTTAAAGCAAAATTGAAATTCGTGAATTTTTCAAATTTGAGTTTTTTTTACAATATTTCTGTTTCTTTGAGCTTGGTGTGTATATATGTTATGACCTTATTTTATGTAGAACATTGAAACTTGGAACACAACAAGACAATTTGAATATAAATTAACCTATGACAAAAAAGTTGAGGTGGGCGTGGTTGAATTACCAATTATTTACATTTGGGAAAGGGGCATAACTCGCATAGGATACATTTGTTCAAAAAGGAACTTTGCACACAATTACCTCATAATTTTGGCCAGTTTGTGCTAATAGTTTGTGCTATTTTGACCTTTATTGACTCTTGTTGACCTATATCTTTTGACCTGTATGATGTAGAAGCTTTAAATTTGGAACACAACATAACATTCAGAATATCAATTAATCAAGAAATTGAGGTGGGCGTAGCACATCCGGGTTAAATTACTCATTATTGACAATTTTGGCAAGGGACATAACTCGCAACGTATACATTTGTTCAAAATGGAACTTTGCATACAATTACTTCATCCGTTGAGCCACGTTGTCTTAGAAGTTCGATTGTTTCAGGTTTATAGTTCAAAAAAAGGAACAGGTTTTGACCTTGACCTTTTTTGACCCTGAATTTTGTAGGATCAAAGGTCATTCACATTGGCTATCTATTTATACTTTTATATTTGCTGTCCTATCTCAACTTCCGGTTTTATAGCCGTATATCTATATGTCCACTTCTGTTATAACAATCTTCCAAAGAATTAAAAGACGTTCGATTGTTTCAGATTCATAATTCAAAAAGAGCAACAGGTTTTACAAATTCAATATTTTCAATTTTTGACCTTGACTTTTATTTACCTTCATAAGATCAAAGGTCATTGCTTCTGACTATCAGTTGATACTTTGACGTTTTAAGTCCGACTCCACTTTTGTTATATAGCTGTCCAATTATCTCATCCGTTTGGCCAGTTTGTGTTAAAAGCTCAGTTGTTTCAGCTTTATAGTTCAAAAAAAGGGAACGGGTTTTAGAATTTCCATATTTTCAATTATTAACATTGACATTTGATGGCCTTAACATTTGTTGTCTTAAAGGTCATTGACCTTGGTTATCTATTTATACTTTCATGTTTGATGTGCGACGTAAGCTTCCGTTTTTGTAGCCGTGTGCAAGTTTGATGAGTGATATCTCGTGACCTTGATCTTTGTTGATCTTCCCTTTTACGAGGTCAATGGTCATTGACTTTCGCTATTCGCTGATACTTTCATGTCTGATGTCTACTTCCGATTTCACAAAGACAGAAAATGTAACTTTAGCAAAACCGTGTTTACTCTTTTATACTCTTACATTATGCTTGTCTGTAAGCGAAAATACAGGCCATATTGTGAATATATTATATCCCATTTTCCAAAAAAAAAAAGAAAGAATTTTCATCATGCATAAAAATTGCGTAATTGGTGTGGGTTTTGTATAATTTATTAGAAAAGGTGTGATTGGTTTATTTCAATATAATTTATTCAAAAATTTTACAAATTGAGACAATTTAATTTTCCTACATTAATTAATATATTGATCAAATGATGAAGAGTAAACAGCCTTTTTTGTGCTATTATTGAGGTCAATGAAGACAAGCAACTTTTTGCAGTGTGAAATAGGATATTAAGACCTTGACACTTCGACAGTTAACGCCTTGGTTTATTGCCGATTATTATAAATCTAAAGAAATTTCCTCGATCTTCAAGAACCATGTAATGTCAGGTTAGCAAACATGTAACTCTTTAAATAATGTACATCCAATAAGTCTAGATGGTTTGCTAATCTGTTATTCAATAAGACAATAAATAAAATGATGACAGAAAAAAAGAACTAAGGAATATCATATATATTTTTAACGTTTATCATGCACGGCTCAAAGAAAGATGGACTAGATAGGTTGCCTAATCTTTGTGACTGACCTTGTCTACAGTGGCTATTGAATCTGATACTCATCACTTTTGGAAATACACATATAAATTAATCATAACTTAAATTAATTCGTTTAATCAAAAAATTGATAAACAAAATTGATACATAAACGATTAAATATCAAATATAAACCGACAAAACATGTGGGGGTTGCCATATGTTTTGTATGTAAAGACAGTTTGAGGCTTGTCGATTGAATATGCTTAATAGTTGTTACCTCCCTTGATAGAGGTTGAAAGCATCCTAACAAAAAAATTCAATGGAAACTCCCAGACTACAGACTCAGTTAGTTGGTTGGTTCTTTCTTACTTAATGTTGTATAAAAATAAGCTGTATTTCTGCTTTTACAACTACATCCTAAAAATAATCTACTTACAATGTATATTGAATATATTTGTACATAAATCAAAATGTATTATCTTAAATTTTTGAATATGGTCATGACTACAACAAAGTAGATGGTAGACAATTAAAATACACAATATTGTGTGTTCTGAAAAATATAGTTTAATAGTCTACCCAGAAATGTTCGCATAATTAATTGTTGTTGACATGAGGGATTTTTATGAGTACATTATTTTACAAAAACAACCATGATAGGTTATGAAAACAACAATTATATAACAGGTGTTTTTGTATGTAAGTAATACCATGACATGTATGAGACAATAAACCAAGGCACCAATTTGATGTATTTCACACTACAAGATGTCACTAGTTCATTAACTCAATAAACAGCAGAAAGGTAGGATAAAAACTCATAAAAACATATATTGATGATAGACAGAGTTGTTTTTTGAATCTATTATAGATTAGTATTTTTCAAGTGCAAATACTCTACATCATTACATATAGTAGTTTTGAACAACAATATTTAATTACAAAATTATTTTAAGTTATATTTTTACATACATTATTCCAAATCAAAACACAAAAATACACGCAGCTAAAGACAGTTTAACTTATATTCACCATTATTACCCTCAAAAGAAATTGTAAGTCAAATATGGTATTTAAATGAGAATTTTAACATAATTTATAAAAATAACATTATATTTCTAAATACTTAATTTCACAATTCAGAGTTCAAAACAAAATAAAAAAAACCATATTTAACTTAGCATTTCTGTTGAAAACCTATCATATGGTCCCTATGATCAAAATGTCTGTATATTTTTTGGTGAAGTATCAAAATAATTGAAATCGATTAACATAAAGGAATAGTTCCAGGTAATTTATCTCAAACAATATTGTGTAAATGTTATTTGTCCATTGTAAGTTGTTAAGTGTTTCTTCAGCAAAAAATTATCTTTTAAACAACCAAAAATTTGTCAAATATGAGTTAAACGACATAATTATCTGTATGTTTTTATACAAGTCGCTACCCTTATCAGTTTTTATAAATATATTTTTCCTCTAAAATATTCAACAATAGAAAAAAACACCACAAAACTAATGATCCACATTTGCATTAGGATATGTCTTAACTGATGTAACTGTTTCTATGTGATATGAAATGAAATATTAATCTTTCTTACACATTTTAAGTACCTGTGAACTATTCCTTTAGTATAATTATACAAACACTTTGAATGAAAACTATTTATATGGGTTTTGTAAACTACATTCTGTATAAAATAACTGAATCAACTTAATCTTAATGTAACTACAGTAAGTTAGACCATTTACCTCTGTTTTGGGACCAATGAATAAATAACTTAACTCAAGTTGATTTGATAAATGTTTTCAGTTTTTCTCAATATGTAATATTTTTTCTTGAATGTTGACCATTTCAATTCTCAGACTGAAAAAAAAAATACTTGTTTAAAAATACAACACAAACTATTCATATTTTTACTTTTTTCTTTTCAAATAATTGCAAACCCTAACTTAACCAGTTCAGATGATTCTTCTTCAGACTCCTTCATTTGATAATGTTAAATGGATTTTGCAAAAAATATAACACAATAGAATAGTACCTTATTATTACTGATATTACAGTTGAAATCTTCTGGCAGTACATGTGAACTTGGTCATTTACTTTCTCATATTATTATAAGTTGTACCATTACTCAGATATGTGTTCTGGTGTTTTTCTTCAAAAACTATTTTCATTTCTACCCACCAAAACCCCATCTATACCAACCCCCACCCAACAGAGGTAAATGGTCTTCCCTACCCATCTTCTTTCCATAAAAAATAATCATATCTGAACTATTTCTGAAATAAATAAAAAATATTGTAAATTACAATAACTGAATGTTCACAGCTTCATGATAACTGTAATATGTAGGTACAATAGTAATTTTAACACGTTTTAAATTAATACTTGAAGTCAAATATACATGATCTAATATTGAATTTCCCTCTGTAGTACTCTCTGTCACACACTGTTTAAACCTGAATTCTTCAAAACAATCCTTAATAGAACTATGTTCTACTAATAGATTTTGATTGAAATCTCCCATAACAATATAATGATAACCAGACTCTTGTAACTCAGTCAACAATCGTTTCAATTGAGGCATGAACAATTCTAATCTATATCTTGGTGGTCTATAAATAACAATAACTGAAATATTTTTATCTAGAATATTACAAGCAACATGTTCTATATTTAACTGGCCTAATCTTATTACATTACAAGCTTTATTCTTACGATAATATATTCCTACACCACCATGATCTTTTTCTTTAAGATTTTTAAAATTAGCACTCTCATCGTAGCTATCTTGACGAGCTTGATTATAAAATATAAAATTATCCAATCGTACTTTAGCAGGGTTCCTTACATTTTTTAACCAGGTTTCTGTCAAACATATCATATCAGAATTTATAAATCTTTTGTCATTTTTTAAATCTTCTAAATGTGTAGTAAGTCCTTGAACATTAAATAAAATGATATTATAACTATTAGGTTTAGGTTGTTCTTCAGGTTGTAAAAATCGTGGCATTTCATTTAAAGCAGATTCAATCTTTTCATCACAAAATATAGCTTTCTCATTAAAATCTTGTATAGTCAATCCTTCTAATGTTTTAACTCGACTTAATGCAACATATGCTTGGCCTGTTTGAAAAATTCTATCTAATGATACAACACCTCTATCTAAACTCAAACCTTGTACTTTATGTATAGTTACTGCATAAGCTAATCGTAGTGGAAATTGACGACGAACGTCACCTTTATAATTAATATGTGTACTTTCATGTCTTTCTATAGGAATACTACCTGGTTCAACATTAGGTGGAAGACGATATGTCTGCTTACTCATACCAACTTTAGCATTGTTAAATTTAACATATATCTTTTTAGGTTTATCATTTTGATCATTTTCAATAAATGTCACACTACCAAAACTTCCATTAATCAAACCAGCTGAAACATCTAAATTAACAACTAACATTACATTTGATCCAATACCAACTGTTAAATTATCTACAAGTGGTGTATCAGTTGCTTTAACACAAGAATCCTTTAATATCATTCTTCCTGATCTAGCATCTTTACTATAGTCTAAAGCCTGAATAGAAATAGAATTGGGACATTTTTCAGTGATCATTCTTGTATTGTAATTATCTACTTGTTGATTAGTGGAGAAAATGTGTAAAGAATCATCTTCTACATTAGTCACTCTACTTTGTAACATTTCAATATCTGAAACCAACATTTCTTCACTTTTCTTTCTTTTTCTAATTCTATTTAAAAGTTGAGCAAAAGCTAAATCATCTTTCTGTCTCATGATTTCTGTCAACTCAATTAGTTTAAAATTTCCATTCCAAATATCTATTACACTATCATGACATAAACTACAAGCTTTAACTGGTTTTAATTGCCACATGTCACCAAAACAAATTACACAGATATTACCAAATAACTCATTACTACTAGTACCTTTAATTTGACATAATCTACCATGAATATAACACAGTAACTTGTGGTCTACCATAGAAATTTCATCTATAATCAGAATCTGTAAATTACGATATTTACACCTCAATGTATTGACAGTTTCTTGTCCTAATGGTTGATATGGTAATGTAAACTTAGTTCTTATTGACAAACTAGAATGTATAGTACTTGCACCAATTGCAAAAGCTGAAACACCTGTCGGCCCTGTTAATAAGACAGAACAATCATCTAAGTTCTCTGCAGTTTTTGCTAAAATTCTAGAAGCCTCATAATTTATGCATTTTATGACGTGACTTTTTCCCGTCCCGGCCGATCCGGTGATAAACAATCTTAACGGATCAGGATTATTACCATGTATTTTATCCAAACAATATTGTCGAACTTTATAAAATACTCTGGATTGAATGTCATTTAATGACCTTAATAATGGAATAGCATCACCTTTAGAGATTCCACTAATATTATTTTCAGATCTAATTCTATCACTGTTACCTTTATCAGAAATAATGTCTGGGATTTGTGGCTCTGAATTATCTTCTTGTTCAGTATCATTCTCATTTCGAAATCTTTCAGTTTCTATTCTTTCTATTTCAGTTTCAGGTGCTATACTAGCCCAGGCATCTTGAAAATCACCACATTTTTCTATAACTTCTGCAATCGAATCAATATCTATATCAGTTTCAAATAATCTACGATTCTGTTCAACAATTTCTTTTACAGACACAATTTGTTCAGAGATTTTTACATGTCCTGATTTATAAAACTCTTCATGTGTTTCGAATTGAGGCGGTTTTAACTGTGTGTCAACACGATATGTTAAAAACAATTGAAGACTACTGAGGTAATAATTTTCAGGATCTTTTGTCACAGAAAATCTGGCATAACGAACAATAGCAGGTGGAGATCTTGTACGTTTTATAATAAAACCTAAATCATTTTGTAATTCAAAAGCAGGATTTTTCTCTGAACTGATATTAGGATTTTCCGATTTAGACATTACTCTGTATTCTGAACAAAACATTGCAATACACATATTATCAAATGGTTCACCTTTAGGTCTAGCTAAATAACGATCAATTGTTGAAGTCATAAACAAATTATAATCTGACAATGTACCATCTTTTGCTCTACTTTGTAAAACTTTCAGTGGGAGAGTTACTCTAATATTATTCTTACCAGTAGGTATAAACTGAACTTTTCTAGAACATTGTTTTAAAGGTAAACCTAAAACTCTTACAGCACTTTCTGGACCAGAAACTTCTCTAGAATGTAAGTAAGTAGTTGAAATTTTGCGCATACAAGCTTTAGCATCCAAATTATTTTGTTTAGCTTCTTTAAATGTTTCACGTAATAACAAACCCATTTCTCTTTCAGCTTTAGTAATATATGAAACAATATAAATAATACATGCATAAGCATTAGTTACATATTGTATGTCTAAGTTTGCATTCCAGGCTCTCAACATATATGGATTATATTGATTGATCCAGCTTGCATTTACACCTCTTTTTAATACTATATATGTCTTTTTAGTTAGTTTCTCACAGGCTAGTTCAAACATTTCTTGACTAATAGACAATTGATCATATAAACTAGACAATGACTGATAGTTTTTGTCTTCAGACGACAATTCCTTCCAAATAGATTCTGGAATAGATCGAGCTTGATCTGTAGTTAAAGTATTTTTATTGTCAATATTTATCTCATTACTTTCAGTATTTTCATCTTGCTCAGTAGAACTCTCAGTTTCTAATGGTCGACAAATAAATGTTTTATCAGAAGGAGGTTTAGGAAAATTAAATCTACAAACTTTTTTATTCTTCCTACAAGATTTAGAATGTTTAGAACTGTGTTTCTGAACATTGGATACTATTTCATTTAATTCAGGGTCTGTTTTCTCATCTGGCAATTCACATGAAATATATTTATCAATAAATTCTACAACCTGTTCATCACTATCTACATCTAGTTTAGGAGCTTGATCTATATATATTATCATATGAACATGTGGTGAACCTCTTTGCTGGAATTCAATTCGATAGAAATAGTCAGAAATTTTTCCTATTGGCTCTGCATCTGATAACAATACATTTCTTAAAAACAGCTTAAATCTTTGATCAAAAAGTCTGGCAACTGATACCGGATTTGATCTCAATAACTCACCTTTCTGTAGCCAATTTAAATCACTTACTTTTACATTAGAACCTTGCTGTAACAATATTGTTTTTAAAAAGGATTCAAATCTTAGTTCACTACAACTATATGACACAAAAAAAGTAGGTGTACCTAGTTGTCTTAACATAGCAAAAAGATCTTTCTGAGTAGCTTGCCAGTAAGCTGGACTTCCACGACAGTTTTTCATAAAAGTATAACCAGTATCAGATTTGAGAATATTTTGTAGTGGTTCATCATGAGTTAACATATCAGCTGTTATCATATTACCTCCCATTCTACCTTGTCTTAAAGCAATAGATGTACCTGATATTATCTGTTGTAATTCATAAATATATTGACCATAAAATAAATAATCTGAGCATGATGCAAAACGATTGTCTACAGACATTAATCTAGTTTTTAAATATTTACCTAGTGTTATTCTAACATCTCTATTTTCAAAAAAAGTATTTTTACCTTTAGGAAACAAATAAGGAAAGGAACACGCTTCATTTGACTTATCCATTAAAAGTCTAACAGGTTGATTATTTTCACTTGGAGAAACAGAAAATATCTTATCAGAACTATTCAATACTTCAGCAGTGGCATCAACAGATTGTAAACATGTTCCACCTAATGATTCACAGGTATATCTACCTATATTATCATCTATTAATGGTAAATCATCGTCACTATCACTATTAGACTTATCATAAGATTCTACATTTACAGATATATCATCTTCTATTGTTTCATCTTGTTTATCTTGTTCTTCAACCCAATTCTCATTTAGTGTAACATCATGATAATAAACATTGTTATCTTTCAAGTAATTTAGTGCATTTTTTATGTGATTTTTTGTAACTGTTTGAAATTCATAATATCCTTTATTCGAAATTTTCTTTTTCAGTTTAATTCTTATCATTTCATCATCATTTTTACATCTTGGTAATACATTGCTCATTTCAGTCAAATTTGACGGCACAGAAACTATTTCACCTAATAATTTTTTATCATTTTGTGGACAGACTTTAACTAGTTTCAAGAATAGAATATTTTTACATACCAGGTGTTTCTCTAATTGATTTAAGCATTTCAATTCATTAGGTAATGGACCAGGATCCATGTCATTAACTACAGCCTCAGCTGGCATTTTTCCTTGCAGAATCTTTTTATTACATGTTAAACATATCCAAAGAGTTTTATAATTATCAGACAAACAACATTCTCCACTATTACAATCATCATTACAAATATGATAGTAAGTTTTAGTTATACATTTCTTTGCTAATCTTTCTACTAGTTTACTTTTCTTTTCATAAAGTTCTTCTTGACACTCTTTAACTTGATTTTTAAACAATAATCTATTACAAACAGAACACACATAAATAGGACCATCAGAACTGTCTATCTTAAATTTATTAATAACTCTATCAATACTACTCATTTCTTTTCTTTTAGCTATTCGTCTTTTATTTCTCAGTTTGTTTACTTTGACTCTATAATTAGTATTGTGGTGATATTTATTACTAGATTTCTGTTTTTGTTTATTTCTATACTGTAAATTAGTTCTATACATATTTCTATATTTAGTCAAAATCTTAATCCTCAATTCATTCATATACCTTTGCTTCAGTTTTAACTTTATTTCATCTATATATTTACATTTTAATTCCCATTTTAAGACTTTTTCATATTTAACCTTGAGCTTTGGTTTTAAGACTTTTTGATATTTGTTTTTTAGCTTTGGTTTCAAGATTTTTTGATATTTGACCTTCAGCTTTGGTTTTAACACATTTTGATATTTGTCTTCAAGTTTTGGTTTCAATACATTCTGATATTTATCTTCAAGTTTTGGTTTTAGTATTGTTTCATATTGAGTATGTAGTATAGACCTTAATTGATTTGTATATTTTCTTTTTAAATGAGCTTTAATATAACTAATCTGATATCGTTTTCTCCTCCTTTTATTCAAACTATTAATTTCTTTTTTGGTTCTAAATGCAAGTTTAAAATTTAATCCGACTTTTTGTCCAGAATTTAGTTCCTTCTTTACTAAATTATAGTTTTGAAAATAATTAGTTCGCTTTTTAATAGATCTCCATCTATTACCTCGTTTCTTTTTCAAATGTTTTCTTTTACCTGATAATTGTGTATCTACATTATCATCAATAACTATAGTAGGTTCACTTCTCTCAACATTATCAACCACTTCATAATGATTCTCATCTCTATGGTGAAGATAAATAGCTTCTGGTGTATAACTATTGTTAATCTGTAATACAGGATATTTCACCCATTTATTATTAGTAAATATATATATATCTGTTTGTAACAAATCACATGCTGCCAATATCTCAAATTCTGTACCCCATGTTCCTAGTAGTCTCATTCTAGAACGTTTAATATAGTCATCAATAGATTGATACTGTTCTCTTAATAAAGGTGTGAAAAAATCTGCATTTGATTTTATATGTTTAACGATAGCAAGTCTTACTTTTCTATGATTATTTTCACACAAAGAAAGAACAAATGATAAACTTCTAAACAAACAATTACCATCTCCTTTGATTGGAGTTATTTTAGTAGGTTTTGTCAGATTACAAATCTCAGCCACATCAACATTATGTAAATAATCAGCAGGTAAACTAATCAGTTCACATAACTCTCTTCTTTTCTCTGATCTAATTGGAATAAATATAAAATCATTTGTCTCTACATTAGTTATAACTACCTCTTCATTATCAATCAATTGACTGCTAGATCCTATTGTATAATCAACTTGCATCATTTCATTATTATCAACAGAACTATTTACTTCATTAATTGGATCATTACTTTCATTACCCATCATAATAACATTAATACCAGTTACTTCATACTGCTCTAACCGACTCAAATTCATTGATACACTTAAATTTAAACAATGTACATATAAATCATTAATATCATTATATTCTAATAGAATACTACTGCCATCCTCTGATAATAATCCCAAATTGTTTCTTGAATGCGAGTCAAACACGAAATAACTATCATCATGTTTCATAATAGCAAAGGTACTTCTATTAAACGTCACAAAACAGGATTCAAATGTGCTCAAACATATTTCAAGACTTTCGAAAAGACCTACACCAACATAATTGGCAGCATCTATAATTCCAACTTCTGAATCATTACTGATTTCCAAATGAAAGAATTTACCTTCTACTTCAACTGTTCTGATTAATTCACTTACCATAATATATTCATGTTGAATGTTAGGTAAAGACTGAAGAAACTGATAATACTGATTTCCTAAATCTAGGATTTTGTCCAAGGTAGAACTATTCCATAATCTTACATTCATAATTTTACAGTAAATAGTGCAAAGAAGGCTGTTACAAACACACTGTTTTCCTGCAAAGAATCCAAAACGTTCTATATTACCTTGATGAAAATTGCCAATTATGCACTTATCAAATAATCTCTTCCTATTTGTGGATATCTTTGGTTTACTATTCTGCTTTTTGTTATTACTATTATCACTATTTACCTTCTTTTTTACAAATTTTGTTCTATTCACATTTTTAACTTTAACGTTGAATGTACTTTCATGCGAGTCTAAATTTAAAGCATTGTCATCATCAATTAAATCTTTCATACATTTATCATCACTAACCTTACTTACTTTTTTTTCTTTTTTTTGGTTTATATTAGCTAAAAAAGCTACTTTGGATTTCTTTTGACGTCCCATATCGATTTACTATTATCAACTAAATTTCTCTGGATAATATAAATTGAAATATAGAATAGCAACTAGAGTACTGAAAAACTTGATCAAAAGCTTTTCAGCACTTAATAATAAAAGAATGTATTTAAATTAAATTTGCTAAATTATATTTTCCACGGTGTTTACACCTGATTTATATATATTAAAACAATCTTTGCTGCGTTGTTAATATTTGATTTATATTTGGTAATAACTGAAATATTTGATAGGCTTTAGTTCAGATAAGAGGTGCCAGCTCTTAAATATTTGATAATTACTTTTTAGACTTTAATTCAGATAAGAGGTGCCAGCTCTTAAATATTTGATAATAACTTTTTAGGCTTTAGTTCAGATAAGAGGTGCCAGCTCTTAAAAATTTGATAATTACTTTTTAGACTTTAGTTCAGATAAGAGGTGCCAGCTCTTAAATATTTGATAATAACTTTTTAGGCTTTAGTTCAGATAAGAGGTGCCAGCTCTTAAATATTTGATAATTACTTTTTAGACTTTAATTCAGATAAGAGGTGCCAGCTCTTAAATATTTGATAATAACTTTTTAGGCTTTAGTTCAGATAAGAGGTGCCAGCTCTTAAAAATTTGATAATTACTTTTTAGACTTTAGTTCAGATAAGAGGTGCCAGCTCTTAAATATTTGATAATAACTTTTTAGGCTTTAGTTCAGATAAGAGGTGCCAGCTCTTAAATATTTGATAATTACTTTTTAGACTTTAATTCAGATAAGAGGTGCCAGCTCTTAAATATTTGATAATAACTTTTTAGGCTTTAGTTCAGATAAGAGGTGCCAGCTCTTAAATATTTGATAATTACTTTTTAGGCTTTAGTTCAGATAAGAGGTGCCAGCTCTTAAATATTTGATAATTACTTTTTAGGCTTTAGTTCAGATAAGAGGTGCCAGCTCTTAAATATTTGATAATTACTTTTTAGGCTTTAGTTCAGATAAGAGGTGCCAGCTCTTAAATATTTGATAATAACTTTTTAGGCTTTAGTTCAGATAAGAGGTGCCAGCTCTTAAAAATTTGATAATTACTTTTTAGACTTTAGTTCAGATAAGAGGTGCCAGCTCTTAAATATTTGATAATTACTTTTTAGGCTTTAGTTCAGATAAGAGGTGCCAGCTCTTAAATATTTGATAATTACTTTTTAGGCTTTAGTTCAGATAAGAGGTGCCAGCTCTTAAATATTTGATAATAACTTTTTAGGCTTTAGTTCAGATAAGAGGTGCCAGCTCTTAAATATTTGATAATTATTTGTTTTTTATAGGCTTTAGCTCAGATAAGAGGTGCCCACTCTCTTAAATATCTGTAATCTTCAATCTTATGTTGATTCAAACCTGCAATAAAATAATGATAATAATAAAGACATGGCTTGCCAAATATACAAACTTTTATCTAAAACAGATAATATCTCTTCCATGTTAAAAACCTCATTTTGCTATGTCAAAAACAATATTTAAAAAAACCTTATAGAAGCGTTGTATGAGTCAAACTTGTTCAGGACCAATAATCCACACATTGCAGTTTATGTTTCAACAAAATCAGATAAAAACTGTCGTCTTAATCTTATTCATAACTCAATTAAAATCTAAAATTTACTTCACCAAATTGGAAATTTATACCAATGAAACAATTATGCCTTTTACAGAAAACAATTTTTACCACTAAATGACACAAAGCTTTAATGGGTATGAATTTCCAATTGAGTTCACATTTTTAAAAACGAAAAATTCCAGAATACAAACAAAATCAAACAGACTTAGTAACATGACCTTCAATAAAAAAAATTCAATGACGGTTTGGTAAAAATCAGTTCCAAACTAATCAAATTCTACCAAACTTAATTATGATACTTTCTTTCATGAAAAAAAAAAGGTGTAATGAAAATTCTATGGGTGCTTCCATCTAGACCCACTTCAGTAATCAATTTTAAACGAATGTAGTCCGTGTTATTTTTAGAAATCTTCCTTGTCCGTCCCTTTTGGAGTTTTACATGCCTATTTTAGAACAATTTTTGATCTAGATCTGCAATTTAATGTCAGAAATTACACTTTATTTCAGATTTTGAAAGATGACAGGTTTTCATGCAAAAGAATAATTCTAAAATTACTATACTAGTTTTGTGTGTTACTAACATATAATAGTCTACTTTAACTTTCAGTTGGCTAGCTCAAAATTTTCATGGTAATGATATGGGTTATAGCCATTTTAGTTTAAGAAGTTTAGAACCATTATGACTACAGTCAAGTAACCTAATTTCGTGGAAACCTATTATTCGTGGATTACCGAAAAGGATTAATAATTTGCATGAGCGACCTTGCGCGACCTCCGCATTAGTTTGTTTTGATAAACATGGGTTTTCTGTACAATATCAGCTAGTAGAATGAATCCAGTAGTTTCAAGCAAGGTAAAACGTATTAATGTATACTTTGAAAAATACAAAATGGCGGTCACCATTTATTATGGGCCGAATTTCCTTATAATCCCAAGCAGTAATCGTAATTCCAAGTGTCGTCTGCTACAATATGGTCCAACGAATGAAGTCGCATGATCAACTGGCAGATTTCGTATCAGCAGAAAATTTCTATATAACACAAAGTGGACCATATTCTTATGTTGTTTCAGTGACTTGTACTAGCAATAAATCACGCTACTTAACTTATTTTGTCAGTCACTATTTTTTTTTAAATTGTGGTTCTTTGAAGGAATTGTCACTAGTTATAATGAATTGATATTAAAGATAAATACTAAGAGAAGTTAATTATACCACTGGGTATCCATACAACGTGTTTTTCTAGACTTATTTAACCCCATGATGTAGGCTATTGAATTTGTATTAATCAACCTTTCATGCGACATATTGAAAAGTTTACAACGAGATATCTTGAAAATGTTATAGAAGGTTGAGTTTCGAGATTTAACATAAAAAGAGATAGCAAAATAATAAATTACTGGAGTACGTCCATTAAAATTCGACTTCTTCAATTTTCCAATACCAGTTATTTCCCTTTTTATCATTTCTCCGAAAAATATATTATTCTCACATACGCAATAACTTGACGTAACATTTGTCCTAATTCATATTATTTACACACTTACCTATTACAGCTCCACTAAATCACAATCCAAAAATCCCCCAAAACGTCAAAATATGCAAATCAACAAACTTAAACCACACTTTTATTTCTCGCTACTCCATAAATCAGTGCTCCATGTGCTCAATCCCGAACAACCAGAACTTTTTACCCAATCGCGCGTGCGTATTGTATATATTAAGTCCGTTCGTCTGAATACGTGCGTTCGACTTCTTTTCTTCCCATATGTTGCGGAGTTCTTTTTGAGCTAAATACAAAAACTGTGCTCAATAGCCTAGGACTAGATAAAATATTATATACGTCTGGTATCAAGATATCTGGCGTTTCTTGTACAATACAATTATTTATTGCACAAAACACTTTCACATTTCTTTAAGATTTATTACCATTTATAATTTATTATCAAATATAAACTATATTAACACTGGCGTTTTACGTCCTACTGTTCTGCACCTTACATGAATAAATACAAACGCTAGCCAACATAGCAATTTAATGAAAGAAATTGTGCATTTTCGATATTAAACTGTCGAATAATCTTTACAGTATGCTACACATCTGGTACACTTGGAAGCTTTTTCCATGTCTCCCCTTCGAACCCAACAATTCTAATTGTAGGTTGACTTAGAAATATTATGAAACAAATTATTTTAATTACCTATATACAAAAAATAAATATAAAATTGATATAAATTTCTCCCCTTTCATTCATTTTTTAACCGTCCGCTTTTGTGGATGCGATTAATTAGTCTGGACAATCGAGTGATTCCCGATTGACAATAAAAACCCACAGGCACCGCGATAAAAAATAATCCCCCTTATAGTATCTAAATTTAGATTATTATAAGAGGCGTATGATTTTTTTTACCATAAACTAGTGCGTGTGATTTCCCGCCACAAAACGTCAGAGAAATTTTGATATCATCCACTTACTCAAAATGGCACAGTCAAATCCAGCAACGCCAGTCAAAAAACATTCAGATGCTGAACTCGAGGACTTTGAAGGCTTCGTACACTCAGTTTCACCACCGAAAAAAAGTAAAAGAAACCACACGCCATACTTCAACATGGTACTTCAAACTGACAGGAATGATTTTCATAATGCTGTATTTTTTACATACAACGCAGAAAATGTAAGAAACCAATTGTTGAAGGCATCCGAAAAGAAAAAGCCCATCAAACTAAAAAAAGCCACCAAATCAATAAGTAAGTAATAAAAATATCTTACCACGGTAAACGTAATGAAAATTAAAGAGATCTGCAACAAATGAAACTCGTTTTTAAGTCCAAGATAACTAATTGTATGCCATACAATTAAAAAAAAATTAATTTCTTTTCCCAGATCTTGAAAAATAAGTAAAATATTACAACCGATTGCGAAGTACACTTCACTCGTTCCAAATTTTTGTTTCAGGCTTTTCAAATCCAAGTTCCTTTGATATAACTTGCAATGCCACTACAGGCATCTTACCTTTAGAAGAAATAAAGTTTGCTCATAAAAATCCACCTATTACACCAACAATGACCATTGAAAATGTTAAACTTGCATCTATACAAGAAATCGTAAGTTATAATTCTTATACTTTTCTAAAATCTTCTAGATTGTAAGCCTTATGCTGATACCCCTGTCTCACAGTCTGTCTTTCTATTGTATTCCGTTCGTATCCTGTCTTGAATCCTGCTTATCATTTTAAACTCTGATCACCATTTTCTTCTTCATGATTACTTTCAATGTCCCACCATTTTTATTAGTTTGTTAGTGCAAATCAAAATCTAAACGTATTTTGCCATCATCCCCTTCTATCCGCCTGTCAACATTCTCTTTTTATGCACGTTTTGATGAACACTTTTTGACAACATTTTTTGATGGACAATTTTTCAGTTATTGCCCTTAACTTGCAAATAAATATCAAAATTAGCTTATGAGCACAATACAACCCAAAATAAGTTTGTTCACATGTTATATCGTCTGGCAAACCACTTAAACTAGCTTTATCCAATTTTAATAAAAACTATGTCTAAAATCTACATCTAAAATGAAAAAAATTGAAATCAACCGTTTCAATGGACGAGTTTTATGAATTTCTCTTGACTTAACCAAAACGTCTTAAAATTACCAAGTTACCATCACACAGACCAAATTTTCATCAAACATAGCGTGCACATCTTGCATGCCAATATCTTGATCAATGCCAAAATACACACCATTCTGTATCAAAATTCACTCATTACCTCATAAACTTTGTATACAAATATAACAAAAAAATAATCAATTGAAAACTCGGAAATACACACTATTTTGATGACATCAAAAATTGTGTCAACATTACCCACTTAGCACAATAGAGGACACAGTTTAATCCGTTTACAATAATATCAACATTTTCCATTGTGATTGTCACTTACAATAAGCTTATGTCTTTAAAAACAAACAAAATTGAAACAGAGCTATCTTTGATTAAAAACTACTATAAATCTTTTGTAACAAATTTAATTTTTTTTATTTACAGGTGTCTGTTGATGCAAAAGTGTCAAAACTCTTCCCACCACAAGAAAAAACCTCAAAAGATGGAAAGCCCTTAACCTTGCATCAGTGCCATATATCTGATGCCACAGGATCTATTGAAGTCTCTTTGTGGGCACCCAGCCAGATATTTAAACTTGATCAATCCTATTCATTCCAAGATGTGTCTGTCAAAGAATTCAATGGCATTAAAAGCCTTACATACATGCAAACATCATCACATAAGATTATTGCTGATTTGAAAAATGTCTCCACAAATAAACCAGACAGTTCATCTTCACATGCTATAAAAGATGAAATATCATCAGTCAATTCAACGATTGTTTTCAAATGTTGCTCATGCTCCCATGAACTTGTTCCAACAACATCTAAATTTATAAAGTGCTCTGCATGTCATATGAAGCAAAAAACATCAAACTTACGAAAATCTACCAGCACCAAACTTAAACTTAGCAAATCCTTTGTAAAATACACACTTACTAATCAAGCTTTATCTGACTTTTTATTAATGAGTAATGTAGATATTACAAACATGGACAGTGATGACATCGAAGAATTCCTTCTGAACATTGATGAAGCATTAATGTTTACAATAATCAATAACAATGTTATTGAAAAAATAGAAAAACCAATTGCTAAACAACATGTTGAATAATTTAATGCACCCAAAATGCACATTTGAAATACTAAAATTATACACCAGATGAGTGTCTTTTTTTTATTTTTTTTATATATATTTATTACATTTTATTAGCCAACATGAAAGGTGGACCGAATATTGGCTTAACCCATGTCCGTCCCATCAATCTGACCGTCCACCCACATTTCCTTATAAACACTCTACAGGCCACAAAAACTTGCTGAAATTGTTCGTTATCACTCAAAAACAAACCCTTATTGAAAATAAAACAAATCAAAAAATATCTCATGTAAATTATTTCCCTTGTTCTTAAATTTTTTAACTCATTAACATTCTACATAATACAATTCTTGATTAATTTACACACCACACACGGTACTAAAAAAGTTTATTACGATCCAAAAATAAACCCTATTAATAAATTATTGACCTTGTTTTTTAAAACCATGTTCATTTTTTAGCTTATTAACACTACGGACACTACAAATCATTGTGAAATAAATGTATGACTTAACGTTGAATATTTCATTTTTGTGATAGTTCCTGTTACGCATAAGTTTCTTATTCAAACCTGCCAATGGGTGTATGTTACCTTGCCAAATAGGCTAGCTTTATTTAATTATGTACTTATGTTTGATCTGTTACAAATAAATGTATATTGTTTTACAATACATTTGTGTTTTGTTTTCAGTGGTGTATTTTTAAAAAAAGTCCACTACCATCAATGGCTATCTTGCCTATCTTCTAATACTTTCATTTGTGAGGTCTGTCTACTTCCGTTATAACAATCTTCCAAAGAATCAAACCTGCTCAACTTTAGACTGTTCTTGCACATGATGTAATTATCGTAGAAGGTTGATTTTTTCAGCGACTTTTGCATTTTCCTACATTTGCAAAGTCCCACTCTGTGCCACGTGTGGCTCTAGTTGTGGGACTTTGCTACGGCAAAGTCCCAGTTTGTTATCGAAATGTCAATTCTTTTTTTTTTTTTTTTTTTTCGATTTTTACACACCTTCCTGAGCTTAGACTACAATAGTTGCAGCAACCTTTCAACATTCACGAACCTTAGATATAGGCGACGATGTGCATAAATATATTTTGGATCTTTTTTGCAAAACCGGAAGTGCCACAGTTCAATATGTGCAAGAATAGATAATCGGCTCTAGAAGTCGTATTTTTGGGTCGATTTTCTTTGGGTTTGCATTTTTGGAATCTACTGTTAAAATCTGAAAGAATAGCAGTTTCAAAATTTCAAAATTCGAAAATTTGTCGCAGACATTTTTTTTGCCAAATTTTGCATTTTTTTCATTTTTTTTGCTTTTTGTCTGATTAATCTGAAAAAAATTGAGCAAAGACAGTTTAAGAAAGTAAACAAAACGGTACAGTCAAATTTTCAATTTCACTTCCGGTTAAACAG